GTATTTATCTAATTTGATCTCGCTTGAAACAAAGTCATGAAGCTGTAATTTTCCGATTTGGCCATTAGAACTGTTTATGGCAATAGAATATTGTGTATTATTGCTGGTTTTTAGAGTAAGAGGTTAATAAATTTTATATTTTGTGCTGAAGAAAGTTGGACTTTTTTCTCCATCTCCCCCCTTTTCCCCTTTTTTTGCACTCCTAATTTTTTTTCTTTTTCTGACTCCTAGTTTTTATTTTTCTTTATATTTTGCTTTTTGTTGAAATTAAAAACTTTTTTTAAAAAAGAAGAAGTGGTTTATCCTTACAACAACCCTGAGAGGTAGATCCTCATAGGAATAGGAACTGCCCCAAAGGTACCCATTGAGCTTGAATGACAATTCAAAGCTTGTTTTCAGTCCAGGTTTATATTCCACTGGTAGCCTCTGTGTTTATTTCTTACATTTCAGTCCCAACTTTTTAAGACTTCAAGGCAGCACACATACCCCTTGCAACCACTCTGTGAGATGGATTGGGCTGAGAGATATAATTGGCCCAAACAAATCCTGAGTGGCCAGAGCTGAGGGTAGAACTTGAACTGGAAATGCTGATCCAATAGTTCCCCAGACTTTCTCCTTGGCTGGAAATCCCTGTCCAATTCTTCCCACATATATATATGCATGTGGGTCATTTTTTTATTACCTGCCCTGTTGTGTTCCCATGTCTGATGACCTGAGGCAGGTGGAGAAGTGGCACCGACAGGCAGCATAATCAATTGGTATTTGCGAAGAAAGAGGGGGGCACTGTCTCTTTGCTCCTTTTCCATGAAATAAATCCTCCAAGGGTTCCCTAGATTGGAGGGGGGGGGGTGGAAAAGCAGCTGGGCTGCTTTTTCCATCTCTGTCTTCCCCAGTTCTGTGTTGATGGGGGTGAGAGGTTCCCTGCACCAGGCTAAAAAGCCACAGAGGGCTTACAGCAGCGCCTTGATGCAAAGCTGTCTCCCAGTCCTTAATTACGGCTTGGGTGATCTTCTCTTTCCCCCACACCTTCACTTAGACAAGAGGCGGCTTAGTGGGTTGGATCACGCTTGCTTTAAAAAAAAAGCCTTTCATGTCAAGACAGAGTTGATGTTTTTGCAAGTGCTTGGCCTCCGCATATGCCAAGAAAACAAAAGCGCCAACCTTTTCTGTCTGGACAGGAAATAGATACACTCTACACACAAATTCACACACACACACACACACACACACACACACACACACACACACAAACACACACACACACATTTTGCCTTTATAGCAGTACATTCCTTGATGGAAGAGAAGAACACACACACACACACACACACAAACATACACACAGTCCATTTGTTTCTGCCGAGTGGTTTGCTGACGTTTAACATTTGAAGCCAAGGCAGTCCGTAGCCTAGAAAACTGAAAGGGAGGCAGGGAGAGTTTTTGTTTGTGTGTGTGTGTGTGTGTGTGTGTGTGTGTGTGTGTGTGTGTGCAGGACAGATACAGTTCTTCCTTCTCCCCTTCCTTTGCTATTTGCACTGTTTCTCTCTCAGGTCCTTGGAGGTCATGAGAGTTTAATTTTGGTCAAAAATGATTGAGGCTCATTGTGGACAGTGTTCCCATTTTCCTTCCTGCCCTCCTTGTCCTGTCTCTGAGAGTGTTGCTCATCAGATTTTAATTCATATTTTACTCATACGTCTTTTACTCATATAATCATACACATTTTGTTCATTAGATTTTAACATCCAAGTTTGTGTGTGCAGATTTGCACGTGGGAATCTTCTATTCCCCCCCCCCGCCACCCACAGTGTGAAAAGTGAAAAGAGGTCAAGAGGAGATACACAGAATGTATCATTCCCTCCTCCAGAAAAATGAGCCCCCCTTTTAGCCATTCCAGGATTAGCCTTAAATCCTGCTGGAAATTACTCCATTCCCTCAGAACGGGACAGCACCTGGAACTCTGTCTCTGTGTGTGCTCTCTCTTAATCCAAGAGAATGATAAAAGTTTCCTTGTTCCTGCTAATAAACTCCCATTTCTGGCAGTGTTTTGTTCTGCAGTTCAGTCACATCTTTTCATGTAGGTTTTTGTTTAGTTTTTTGTTTTGTTTTTTTACAGTGGAAAACACCCTTGAGCAATTCTTGCCTTCAAATCCTGGATGGAAGTCAAGACAAATTCAATCCAGGAAAAAGATTGATCTTCACATTTCTTGTTTGACTGATGTTGGGAAAGTTTATTTGTAAAGAGGGTTTTGATATATCGAGAGTTAGGTCAGATTTAGTTTCTCATTTACGTCCGCTAGTTTTCTTATCCTTTTCTGTGCCCTACAAGCAACCATCTTCCTTGATAGCCAACAGATGCTAGAGTTCTGTATTTAATCCTGGACTAAATACACCTCAATTTTTTGCTTAGCCAACATCCCAAGGAATTTTTATACAGCATGATATTTTCCGAGAGCAGTCACCAGATTCTTTTAATTTTGGCTGCTTCTTTTCCTTTTCAATAATCGTACTTCTTACCAAATTGTGCCTGGCCAGGAAACCTGGCTTTTCTCTTTGTTCATACGTGACAGCTGAAGGAGGTTTGAGCTATATGCCTTTGGTATACAATATCTCAGTATGAAATTAATTCCGTTTTTCTTTTAAAAACAATGGGATTGTGTGTACATTTCCATGGCATGTGTAAAATTATGTTGTGGGAGAATGAATATATTTGGAGAGAGAGTGACAGAGAGAGACAGACAGAGAGAGAAATGTAGGCTGACAATTTCAGCTCAATTCTTCAGGCTACTATTTTGTGTTACATTTTGGATTGTATCTTGAGGTTGCAAAAGCCATGAGAAATCCATTGAAGTCAATGAAACAAGATGACTCAGGTAATTTTCTGGGACACCCCCCCTTCAATCTTTCCAGTTTGGTTTATATCCTGAATCTATTTCTGATTAAAGATACATTGGATCGGGCACAAATTGTTTTGTGTGTGTGTGTGTGTGTGTGTGTGTGTGTGTATGTAAATATATATATACATTGCTTACTGGTGTACACCGCTTAGAGAGTGCTTGCACTTAAAGCGGTATATAAGTCTCATAAATAAATAAATAAATAAATTTGTGTGCATGCAGGCATGTGTACTGTCATGGGCTTGCATGCAGTGTGTTAATCCATTTTTAATTCAGTTGTTTGAAGATAAGTTTGGGTGTAGCTTACTTGCTTCTCTGAAGTTCTGATTGGTTTTCTATACATTCCCCCCCCCTTAAATGTAAGGTAAGTGACAAATCTCGGCTGCAGCTATAGTTATGATTTTTGAAATTCCATAATAAAATTCAGCAGAGAGTTGAACTTGTCAAATCTACACCCACACAGTGTGCTACCTGGTATATTTCATTGCTTGTACTAGTACATAATTCTCATGGGTGAGGTAATAAATTTTTGACTGAAATTATTGGAATGGTTCATCGCATACAACCACAATCTACCTGGATCCATTTTGTAAGAGGCCAAGGAATGCAATTCTGTATGCTTTTACTTAATGGCCTGCAGTGGCCATTAAGAGCGAAGGAAATGCACTTAGAATTGTGCTTAAGAATTGTGCTTAAGAAACGTGAAGGGAAGAAATGCAACTGATAACTAGAAGGAAACACATTTGGGAACATGATGGCCAAATGTTTATTGTGATCATGTTGGTTTTTGGCATCCGAAGCAAACTCAAACCTCTGGTGTTTGCAGCCCTTCAGATATAGTCTGCTTCTTCTTTTTACAGCAAAATGCAAGATGTGATACAAGGTAGATGGTGGTATCTATCCAGCTTCTCTACATTTTAACAGATAAGGTTTAGCCTTTAAAAAAATCAGATGTGCTTTGTTGGCTGGCATACATTTGCTCACTTTAAAATGGGGCATTCTTGGATTAGGTTGTAGGTTTGAAATATTGCCCCAAGAGTTTTAGGAGAGAAGGTTTGTGAAGTCAGATTTGTGACATGTAGGAGAGGGTTCATAATTAAACTAATTAAGGAATATCTTGTAATAGCTGTATAAGTCCTGTTTTATTATTAATTTGGCTCCAAGGAAGAAAGGTATTTTAGATAGGTTTCTCAGAAATGAATGTAAATAATAAAATTTGAGACAGTGGACAACAGGGGAGGGGGGGGGCTGGTGTGCTGTGGTTCATGGGTTCTCGAAGAGTCAGACACAACTTAGCAACTGAACAACAACCAAATTGAAGGGAAAGGACTTGTATTTTGCTGAGCTGGGTGTGAAATTAAAATAGTGACTCTGATCTGTGACTTGGTATGTTCCAACCTTATATAATGGAAAAAAATGTTCATATGGATGTAATTTGTGGAGCCTGTGAATAATCAATTATTTTTATCATGATGTTTTAAGAAGAGACAGAGGAAGAATGTAGCTTGACAGAAACCTGCTGATCTGGATGTTTGTGAGATTGGGGTACTGACAAGTCAAAAATGGTTGAGTTGAATCTGAGCTGCGAAAAAATTTTCTGCAGTCTACTAAGCGAGGCTATTATGCACCCAGATAATGCAATATATATGTTTACACGGGGTCTGGTTGGAAAATAAACTACTATTACTGTCCTGCAGCTCCTTTAGAATTTGATGCCTAACCAGTGACCAACATCTATAAGGTGCTAATCATTTAAATATGGAAGAATGATAAAGAAAACCACACAAAAGCATTTCTACACAATTTCTTCCCCTCCTGAGTGGGAAATGAAAAACACAACATTGTTATATGTACAGATAATGGTATTCCAGCACAGCTAAATAGCACCATCTTCTGGGCAACAAAAATTTAAACATCGTCGATGTTCGTCTTTTGTTTCCCATCCCACATCGCTCTGCTTTCGGTCCTCCCCAGATCCTTTTCTGCCTATAACTTGAAAGAATAATATTTTTTGGTCTGTATATTCCATGAAGCAAATAACATTTGTTACTTGTTTTGCTCCATAATTGGTTTAAGGGTTTAACGTATTTTTATTTTTTATTATTTTAGGCTTCTGATGCCAGCTCAGAAAAGTTGTTCAACGCAGTCACAAACAAAGGTAAGTTTGCACACTTCCTTCTCCAGTCCTGTTTATTGTGCTCTTCTCTGTTACATCATATAATCTTCATAAATCCTCTCTTTGTCATTTGACATTTGCTTCATTTTTTTAGGCTGCTGTTTGTGTTATGAAACTCGGGGAAGAGAAACCATGCTTAAAAAGGGGGAAAAATCATTAAATATTATTCAGTGATATCTGATTTGCTAGGGGTAAATGAATTTAGGGACCCATTTTCTGAAATGTTTCAATGTAGCTGCTTTCCATCCGGTTGCTCGATGGGTACAGATTTAAGAAGAACTAATTTGTACGTTAGGCAGTTACTGTTGAATGCCCGTTTAGGGTTCATGCAGGGAGGATTATGCCTGGAATCCTGCCTGTGGGAGCTGCTTTTAAAAAGTCAATTAAAAAAAAAAACTGTAGGCGACAATCCCGGGTAATGTATGATTGGTTTCATTAATTCCTCCCAGACTGCCATAAATGTGGGTGTGTGGTTAATGGCCGTAACAAGAGGGTGTAGCTAGGTTTGCGGCAATACATTAACAGAAGTTATTTTGAATGTGCTACTGTGTAATGGGACTTTCTGTATGGGTCTCTAGTTGTATTTAGTAAGTATGGGTAGTCCTTGACTTACAACCATTCATTTAGTGATTGTTCAGAGTTACAACAGCACTAAAAAAAAGTGACTTACGACAGAGGTCCCCAACCTTTTGGCCACCAGGGATTGGTTCCATGGAGAGAGGTTTTTCCAGAGACCGGAGGGGGCGTGGTTTTGTGTGCTGCCTGCATCCCACGGATGGGGCTTTGTGTGTTGTGCGGACCGGTTGCTGGCATGCTGTGGCCCGGTACCGGTCCATAGACCGGGGTTGGGGACCCCTGACTTATGACCATCACAGCATCTCCGTGATCATGTGATGTAAATTTGGGCAGTTGGTAACCAGCTTGTATTTAAGATGGTTGCAGCATCCTGAAGTCATGTGTTTGTCATTTGTGATCTTCCCAGCTGGCTTCTGATAAGCAAAGTCAATGGGGGAAGCCAGATTCACTTAATGATTGGATGATTCATTTAACTGCAGTGATTTGTTTAACAATCGTGGCCCCAAAAAATTGTAAAATTGGGCACAACCACTTTGCTTAGCAACTGAAATTCTCGGTTGTGGTCGTAACTCGAGGACTACCTGGACTGAAACAGAAAGCTGAGAAGATCTTTATCGCTGATGGGCAATTTTAAAGATTTAGAATCGGGTTACTGCATCTTCATTTGATCTTTCTATCTCTTCTGCTTCACTGAGCTTCTCGTATTAAGTTGCTGTTTGGTTAAGCAGAGTATTTATAGAAAAACTTGGCATCTTAAGACGTCCAAAGATAGTTTCTAGGCAGGATTGATTAGTGACTGAAAGCTTGTCCTGAGAAGAATTCAGATTTACTATTTAGCCTCTCTAATTGGGGGGGAGGGAAGGTTGAGCCATGAACTTACTTTGAAGGCCTTCTCTGGCACTAGCGTTAAAGTCTAAGTGGGACTTAGGTTCTTGGCAGTATTTCACCAAAAATGAATCAGCTGAATAAAGAAAAATTGCCATTATGACTTTCAATATTTTAAAAAGGTCCAAATACAAATAGTTTAATGAAGAGAAGGACGAGGGGGGACATGATAGCAGTGTTCCAGTATCTCAGGGGCTGCCACAAAGAAGAGGGAGTCAAGCTATTCTCCAAAGTGCCTGAAGGCAGGACAAGAAGCAACAGATGGAATAGGTAGAATAGGATAATATAAAAAAAGAAGCAACAGATGGAAACTAATCAAGGAGAGAAGCAACCTAGAACTAAGGAGAAACTTCTTGATAGTTAGAACAATTAACCAGTGGAACAACCTGCCTCCGGAAGTTGTGAATGCTCCAACACTGGAAGTTTTTTAGAAGAGACTGGACAGCCATTTGTCTGAAATGGTATAGGGTTTCCTGCCTGAGCAGGGGGTTGGACTAGATGATCTCCAAGGTCCCTTCCAGTTCTACTCTACTCTACTCTACTCTACTCTACTCTACTCTACTCTACTCTATTCTACTTTTGAATTAAAGTGGATGTTTAGTTGGAGCTAATATCCACGAAATTTGCTAGGATCTAGCAGAAATGGTTGGTCACTGTCGTTTTTGGGGATGAGTTTTCAACTTCCTAGTCTAGCCTACAATTCTGGGATTTTCTGGTAAACTCCCTGCCAAGAAGTAGTAATTCTTAATTCACTCCTTCCTAAAAACCTGAAAAGATAAGGAAAAACCTGGGGAACTGAGGCCCAGAATGATGTCAAATGCAGCTGCTAGAAGTTGGAAATAACCTTGGTTGGCTGTTTGATAGTGTTGATGGTTATTGTCGTTCAAAATAGGCAAGACCGCCTGAAGACCAAGAACAACAAGTTTTTGCACTGTTTTTCTTCATGTGGGCATCTCTTATGAGGAATTATGAGGAATAAGCTGTTCCACTGATTAATTGATCTCACTGTCATGAAATTTCTTCTTAGTTCTAGGTTCCTTCTCAGTTTGACAAGTTTCTATCTGTTACCTCTTGTCCTACCCTCAGGTACTTTGAGAAATAAGTTGTTCATCTCCTCTTTGTGACAGCCCGTCAAATATTGGAAGACTGCTATTATGTCACCCCTAGTCGTGATAGACACACTGTCCCCCCCTTTTTTTTACATACATCATGCTTGTGACACATGTAGAAAAGGGGCAGGGTTTCAATTATAAAGTTGTGGCTGCCATCTTGACTTTTTTTTTAAAAAAAACTTTATTTTATAGATGACTCTGTTCTATCCTGAAGAGGAAGTTGAACTCAGTAACTTAACTAGCCCTTTCTAATTTTAAGGTTCGGGTTCAGATAACAAGGGCCAGATTAAGATCTAGCAAATATTAAACTTCACTAGCATTAATGTTAGTTTGATGTTTTGGGGTGTGGGTGTGTGCTTTATGGTTTGTTCTGTGGCATGAACCCAATTTATCTGGCTGTTCGTGTTTTGCAACCTGGACAACTTCCAGTATGGACTTTAGTTTCCAGAATTCTCAGCAATGGTCCTAATTGGAGAATTCTGAATGTTGAAATCCAAATTTCAGGAGTTACCCAGGAAGCAGTCTGAGGGTAATGTGTGATTTGTGTATTGTGCAAACTAAGAACATGAATTAATTGAGTAACTGGATAAGGTGTGTTGTATAAATGCAATGCGTCTACGTAATTTGGGAATAACATTCAATTTGAATTCCAGTTGAATTTAATTCAGTACAGTTGCTTTAATTACTCCTCCAGTATTTGAACATTTTCCTGTCTTCTTAACAATTTTGGGAACAACTATCTGAATTTTTTTGGATCACTTTGTGGCCACAAGTAATGAACCTTGGACATAGGTATCTCTTATTTATTAGATTTATATCCTACTTTTCATCCCAGTATGAAAAGTAGGTATACAGAACATTCTTTTGCTTTCCCTAACAACCAGTACCGTAAATGTCCATAAAAGAAAGTTGTTTTTTCCCCCCTTAGTGTGTTTGAGTCATTCTTGACCTTTAGCAACTACTTAGACAAGTCTTGGCAAGATTTTCAGAAGGGCTTTGCCCTGGCCTTCTTCCTAGAGCTGAGAAAGAGGGATTGACTCAAAGTCACCCAGCTGGTTTCTGTGCCTAAGGCAGGATTAGATTAGATTAGTTTCTTGATTCCAAGTCTGGTGCCTTCAGCCACTATACCAAACTCTCTTAAGACTAACTGACCTCAAGTCACATAGAGAACTTTTGTAATTGAGGAGATATTTGAACTTGGATCTCCCTGGTGCTAGTTCAACACTTAATCACTATGCCTCCACTGGTTCCTTTGAACTTTTATAGGAAAGCAAGCATCTTATATACTGCTTTGATGTATATAGATCTTATACTAAGTATGTAAGTCTTTAAAGAAGTACATACCTCTTTACATACTCACCTTTGACAACTGGGTTAAATGAACTAGTGGATTAACGAGATGCAGAGTCATAGATTATGATTTTTAATTCTCTTTCTTCCAAAGATTCATTGGTTACTTTGATATTTTCTATTAACATGTGCTGGGATTTGCTTTCCGGTTTCCAAAAGGTTTTGTTGTTATGGTTCTGGCTAATGAAACATTTCAAAGAACTTCCAGGCATTATTTTTCTAAAAGTCTTTTATTGTTACAAAATGTCAGCACAGGCACAACGGAGGGATGCTAGGATCTAAGTTCTCTTCCTCAGAGCAGTTAAATTATCAGCATGTTCCCTCCCTAAATTAGCCTTCATATCTCACATTATCCAATTAGTGTGAAGGTCAAAGGTTTTCTTCCTCTTTCTTTCCCGGGCTTTACCCCCAACCCCCTTTCTGCTCTGTATTAACCCCATAATTACCATACAATTCTACATGTTGTCAAAAGCAAGAATATACAATATTTGCAGCGTTGACATTTGTCCCCTGGCAAAAGAGACTTCTGTAGTTCCTCCTTGATCTCGGGTTATTTCAGCATCTATTTCAAATCTCTTTTGGAGGTGTTTTGGAGCTTATTTTATTGCAAAAAAATGGTCAGCAATTTTCCCATAATTAACATCAGTGACATCATTGTTGTAGAAGTTTCTGGATGTGAGGATTTGTGAGCTGGCTGTCCTATTCAGTCTTCAGAATATGAGTTTGTACTTGTGGTTTAGCAGCAGGATATCTGGCTTGGTTTCTTATTCTCCAAATTATGAAATATGGAAGATCTACCATGTTAGCACTCATCTGCCATAAGATTTGAGAATCAAAGCTTCTCTTCGGTTGTTAGCAATTATATGTAGTTATCCAAGATCTGAGTAAGCTTGCAGGCCTGAAGTTCACATAGAGATAGAGAACCTTGATTCACAATCGTTCATTTAATGAATGTTTGACGTTGTAACAACATTGAAAAAAGTAACTCACAGCGGGCCTTGCGCTTATGACTATCACAGTATCCCCACAATCATCTGGTCAACATTTGAGTGCTTGGCA